AATATTTCAGTGTTTTTGTATTGATTATCTGTTAAAGTAATGCCATTTAAGATTTATCACTGTGTATGCGAGGAATGCCACCAGTGGTCAATCCGTTTGTCACACTCTGGTGGCTTGTGCGTTCCTGTGATGCTGGGAGCAATGCCACCGGTTTTTCATAAGCTAGCAGGGTTATCCAAAGTGAATACGTTTCAGCAGGGCTTCCAGACTTAAGAACAGACTAAGAAGAAGGAATTGGTTGCCCATTTTAGAGGACATGATTGATGAAAATGCATTTGAATTATGGTGCTGGTGAAGAAGAGTGAAAGTACCATGCACTGCCAAAAGAACAAACTGTTCTTGGAAGAAGTACAGCCAGAATGCTCCTTAGAGGAAAGAATGGGAATAGTGTCATGTTTTTTGTGTATGTTGTCAGAAGAGACCAGTCCCTGGAGAAAGACATTCTACTTGCTAAAGTAGAAAAAAACCTCCAAATGCACTGTCATCAAGTTGATTCTAACTCATATGGACCCTGGAGAACAAGTAGAACTGCCCCTCACAGTGTCCTAGATAGAAACTCTTTACAGGAGTAGAAATCCCAGTCTTTGTCCCAAGGAGTGACTGGTGGTTTTGAACTGCTGACCTTGCAATTAGCAGCTGTGATAGGTAGGTTTATTGTGCCAACCAGGCCAATGAACATATGTGGGATTAATTTGAAGGGTAGAGAGATAAATGGCTCAACGATCCTCACCTTCCTAGTCTCTTGCTCTTTGATGATTGGACCAGTGTGAGGCTGCCTTAGCTGGTTCTCCAACTCAACTTTCAAGTTACACTACCTGTGGGACACCCAACCTATGGACTGTGTCACTGTCATTTGAGTTTCCTTCAAGTCCTGCTTCGCCACGCTACTGGAGTATACATAGCTTGAGATGGGGACTGTTGCACCCTGTCATCTGGCAGACTGTTGGTAACCTGCCTTGCTGTTTGGTGCCTGTGGCCAGACTGCTTGAATTGCTCTACAGAGGACTCATCTGTCTGCTTCCTTGACTTGCACCCAGCGGCCCGCAAGACTTCAAGGACTGCCAGTGTGTTAGCTGTCTCACGGAAGTGAGTTTCACTGAGCCATTTGTACTGCTCGATAGACAAGTTAGTTTTTATTTCTTATGTTGTATCTCTATACATCTATACAAATATATATATAATCATAGGTGTCCTGGTCTTGTTTCTCTAGAAAACCCTGTCTAACACAGCAGCCCAATGCTGTAACCGCCATGCCACCAGATAACATAGAAGGGCAGCAAAAAAAGAAAAAGTGGAAGGCCCTTCACAAGATGGATTGACACAGTGGCTGCAACAATGGTCTCAACGTGAGGAACAATTGGGAGGATAGCTTAGGACTAGGCAGGGTTTGTTTTGTTGTCCTTAGAGTTGCTACCGATCAGAACTGACAACACAAAGGGAGCTTTAGAATGTTTGTAGAAAAATAGAACTAAAAGAACTTTTCCATGAACTTTTTGGAGCCCATTCATTGAACAGTATGCTCCTGAAATTAATTTCACTAGTTTCTCTTTATATGTTTCAAAATGGTTACTAAAAACTTTCAAATTGCTCACATGGTCCTATTTATAATTTATAATATCTTTCTATTATACAGAGCTGCTGATTCTGCTTTCAAAATTATGATATCAATTTTATTTAGTTTCATAACCAGACTGAATACAATTTAATTTTTCAGCTGAACAAAAAGTGATTTCTCTATTGTGCACAACTTTCAACATTTGGCCATTTCATTCTTGATTGATCAGTTCATTTTATTCCAACAAAGCTATATACCTTTTGCACATAATCCACTTTTTGTGAAAGAAAGCACATAACACTATAAATATATACTAAAACGAATCCATATATAAATAAAACTCTCTGGTTCTCGCCTGAACACAGACATAAAACAATACTGGAACAAGTTGGTATGTATGGGTTCCAATGCACTGATATTTGAGTTTCCTAAATTTTTCTATCTCCCCCACAAAAAACAATTCTTCTTTCTATTTTTTAACCATTTAAAATATGTTTTTATTTTGCACCATCTTCAGCCCAGCCTGCAGCATACTGTCTCTGTCGATTTTTACTGGTAAACCTCAGATCGCTGTATTTGTTAAGTGAAGTAGTTTTCTAGAAATCTAACCATCCTGCACCAGTCTATGAACATATACTGGTAGGTTTATGCCCTTAAATCGGCAATCTGAATTGGTTAAAATGCTCCCATTGTGGTCTCTCTAGAGCAGGTCCCAATGGGCCCATCTGGATAAGATATTCCACTAACATAGTCTAAAATTATGCTAGTAATATTAGCTGAATAGTGTTTAGAATTGCTCAAAGGTGGCGAGTGGTGGGGGTAGTTCTAGACTTACAGATGTGCCCCCCACCTCTTTACTTTCTGCTAGTTAGTATTCATCAGCTCTCCAGCAGAGGAAACGCAAGCCCACACATCCTATTTTGGTATAATGCCCAGCAAACCCCCAGAGTAACTAACGTTTCTCCGGTACTTAGAAATAACAGATTCTTCTAAACTACTTTGTATTTAATTTTTGCAGAACACCTTGGAGCAAAGTCTCATTACTTCCTGTTTACAAATAAAGTTTCTGAGGCTTGCAGGGAGGCAGTCATGCTAGTCAATCTCCTGCCCTCCACATTCCTTTCCCTCGGCCTAGAAAACCCTCCCTCACAGTCTGCACTTTACCTATGCTTGGATGTTGTTATTTAATTTTAAAAACGGACTAATTTGAGTCCATTTTTATTCTTCAAGTTCAAGACTCAACTGCAAAATTCAATATCAATGATTTCTTCTGCTACCTCACTTCCAACACAGGGAAACACATGAAAACAAATCCACATATGAAGTCATTTATGACATATGAAAGACACGAGGAACGAGCTGTTATGGGAGCAGAGAGGACTGGATGAAGTAAAAATAGGAGAAAAGGCAAAAAAGAATAAGAATTTCTATTGCTTTCTTCTCTCCTCATATTTAGCAGGCTGTCAACTCCCTAGTTAGGTTTCTTCTTTAATTATCATTACTTAGGTAGAAAAGAAGTAAAAAAGAGACACCTCTAAATTGAGGATCTGTTTCAGGATTATTAAATCTGGAAGGTTAAAACTAGAAAGTAATGTACTTAAATAAATGTTCACATATGCTAAAGACAGAAGTTTTGCCTCGACTACACTGAATCCACTGTTTAAAATTGTTAGAGTGTTAAATATTGTTTGACTAACAAATCATTTTTATTTTATCCATTCACATGTGAGCCATATTTCTAACACAGACACAGGAATTTACATTCAAAAGCCAGGAAGCTTTGAAGGTTCATACTAGTTGATTGCCCTGGTGCATTATCATGTGTGGAAAAGTTGACTGTGGTAATGCTACCATCCCTTGCCAACCTGTCATCAGGGAAGGGTTGGGAGAAATACTTTTGAGCCCAATTATCATTCCAGCTGCCTGTCAGTGTCAGTTGTGTGAGCACAGCTAAGACTTAGCATAAAACCTAAGCTACAATCAAGTGGTTATTTAGTTTCTTCTTTTTAATGAGACATTTGCTTCCCCCACATAGATAGTATATGGATTTTGTTCATTTAATGGGGGGGGGGAAGAGATGAAGCTCTCGTTAATATATATGAAGGAATACTGCTTGACAATTGAAATCAGTCAGCCAAAGGAACGTTTATCTAAACGGTTTGTATTAGTGGAGGGCATGCTGAAAGATGAGAGGATAATCCAAAATGACCGTCAGAAATTAATTTATATTTTGTTTTATAAATTAGAGTTGAACAAGTGGAAAACTTCAACATTGATATTTTCAAGCATTGAAGGGACCTTCAAAGCATTTAGAAAGTCATCATCAGACCTAACTGATTTTTATTTGATCACAGCAGTTTTAATTTCCGGGACAAGAGTCACATGTGCAACACTGTTTCCTTACTTACACCTACATGTGTGCGTTCAGTCATTTCAAATTATGTTATCAAAAAGATTGAAGCCATCCTGTGGGGGCGTGCTCACTCCGGGGCCCAGTGCTGACGGGCTGTTTAAGCCGTCATTGACACATCCCACTCTCGGAAAGAGCCCCGCTGTGTGATTAAGCGAAGCAAACTGGCAAGGAGTTGGTATGTGCCCACCATTGAGTCCATTCTGAGTCAGAGCCGCCCTGGAGACCTTTTAATCCTCTAATCACTGAGCTTGTCATCTTTCTTTGCACGCGAAATTGTAGCTAGCTTTGCATGTCTTGGTTTCCAGTGGGGCTGTATGCATCGCAGAGTGCAGGCAGATAGATAAATTGAGGAGCAAACTTTACATCAACTCGCCACATGTCCTAATCTATCAGAGAAAAGAATCCAAAATATATAATGATTCAGGCCACCCATTCAATTCTTATTTTCCAGTCATGGTTGTAGTGGCCATTCCAATTTAAAAAAAAATGAAATTAGCACTCACATGATAGTGCTTTCAAAGTACAAATCAAAACAAACAGAACAGAATTTTAATTCAAAAGCAATTTTACCAATAGACACATGTGAATAACAAAGCAGTTAAACTGATAATATTCTTACTTCAGATACAAGGGCTGCACTTAATTTTCCCTTAGAGGTAATAACAACTTTTTAAGAAGGTGTGCTTTTTAAAAGAAGCTTGTTATAAAGAAAAAATTTAAAAAGAGAAGTTCGGAAATGTAACTAAATACATGATTATTTTGCTATAGGGCACCACTTAAAATCTTCATGTCCGTGAATATGAAACCCGTGAATCCTGGTGATTGGTCTCTGAAGGCCCCGTGGATTACAGCGGTAAATCACACCAATTCTCGGATGGCACAAGACCTGACCGCATTTCCCTTGTGCGTAGAATCACCATTAGTTGGGGACCAACTGGAAGGCAGTTAACAAAAACTACCACATACACATAAATTACCCTCAATTCTTTCAGCCTGGTAACCAAAAATAATAATTTAAAAAAAACAAAACACCCTCCTTTCCTTGGCCGGGGCCGGACGTGCAGTCCTGGTCCCCCGTACGTATGGGGGCAGAGGGAGCGGACACCGGTCGGTCCCCCTCCGTGTCATGTCTTTGGCGCCGGCAGCTACCCGTCCCCTGGTTCTATCCTCAAACGCTGGGACAAGGACCCAGGAGAACAAAAGAAAGAAAGAAAAAAAAAGCCACACAATCGTATATACACTGTCCTACGTGTATTTATATCCATTTGTTAATTTCAATACATTTGGCAAAATTGAATTTTCTTTATTTTGTAATAAAAATTCTTGGCAGCAAAGTCAATGCCAGCAACAAAACATATAGTCAGTACGTTGTACAGGTACCAGGCCCTTTTTTCAAAAACTGGGAAATTGCAATTGACTATATGCACAACAATAGCAGAGAACATTATCATTTGGAAGACAATAACATCATCAGAACTCATATATGAAGATTTGAAAAGAAAGCTAAACCGTTCCACAATACAAATAGCATAACATATTTTAAGTGATTTATGCTTCAAATATAATTATTTTTCAATATCTGGTCCTTATATTTAAAGAATGCATTGGGGTGGTTCTTAAATGTGTACTAATGGATAATTGTCCTCTAAATGAATGTCTTAGTCCTTTAAGTCCAAGAAAAGCCTTGGACAACACAGTTTCTGATTCAGACACAGAACTTCTTTTTGACTGAAAATATCAAGCGGAAAGCATTTAGTGTACACTATTGTCTGGTCCTTTGGTCCTATTTGTGATTGTTTATACAGAGACACAGCTACAATTGACTGAGATGTTTGTCCCATAGCTCTCTGTTTTGATTGCACATTTCTCTTGATCACTGGTTGCGTCTCTAACATTCAGTATGTAACTGTCATGTTATTGGTGTCAAAAATTTGGCATTAAAAAAAACCAAATAGATAAATTAAAAGATTTTAAAATATACCTAATTTTTCATAGGTGCTTCAATATCAGAAACTTTTAGAACTTTATTGGAATGGGGATACAATGGACATTTTTTTCTGTTAATTGGCTATTCACTGGGGACCAGAGAGAAGAGAGGAAGGAGCTCTTGTTAAAAGACGGCAACAACACCAGTTGGAGCTAAGAGGGACTTTGAATGTATCTGGAAGCGGACACTCAGCCTACAAAAGAGAGGCAGTAAATGACCGGTCCTCCCTTCAAATACCTCTTCTATGGACGTCTGTGTCGCTAATGTGAGCATGTGTGTGAATGTGCACATGCACTTGGGATCACACACTACCCTTTGAAAGGTTGCTTTAATGTTTAAAATTTTTATATAAAGTTATTAAGAAATACAAATAAACAAAAGGGATTATTATCATTGATGAATGAAAAAGGTTGCGAAAAGACGAAACATGAGAACATTGTCTGCCCCAGTTACTAAAAGCTCTCAAGGACATTTTAAGGTATAATATTTGATATTTTAAATAAACAGAAAGTCATTCTTAAACTTTATAGCACTTTCAAATTGTGCACCTATGAGGTAGAACTCATAAAAGTCTTTATTTCCTAAGTTCCTTTGATAAAATGAGATAAATTTCCATGTCTACATATAGATATTCCAGTGTACTTTGATAATTTTGTTCTTTTATTTCACTCTCCCCTAGGGTTCTAGTCTCTCAAATTATAAGCACATAAGAGAAGGAGGGTAAAGGGGAAAGGGGAAAGGTCTATAAAATCTAATATCATTGGATGGGGATTTTCACAATACTAAAGAGGGAGGAGTGCGATGTTCAAGCAATTTCCAACTTCTGTATTTAACATGAGTCATTACTGCCTGAAGGCCAACATTAATAGCAGCTGCAAAGGGGGAAAAGAAGTCACGACAAGAAGATCTCTCAGTTACCTGTTTGATTTCATGGGGAGCAGGAGTGTAAATGATGGTGAAATCTGCTGCCCCAAAGGTCCAGGACCATGGATATGTGGGACCTGCTACTGCAACCAGGAAGAAGGCTTTGGCATAGAAAATAGTAAATAGACAACATGTTTTCAGTATAAATGAAGACATTTTACAAAGCTGAGGAAATGGTGTCGCTGCCATTTCATCCTGAAGACGTAGATGAGTGTTCTTGATTGCAGAATATCTAGTTCTCTCGTCAGTTCAATTATTAAGTAGTACAGTAAAGATCTTTATAGTTCTCACAAAAATCATCAGAAGGATAAAAACCTTCCCGTGGTTGCAGCTCCATGAAACTGAGCCTGGATAAGTATTCAGTCATAGCACTGGAGTGTGTAAATCTCCCGAAACGATGAGGTTTAGGAAAGATTTCTCAGACAAAGCTGATACGTGGTCACACAGCTTGGCAGGTGTGTCCACTGTGTCATTATACCCACATCCACACACCAGATGCATACATATATTTCCATGGGTCACAAACCAGGCCTTATGTCTGATTTTAGCTATCCTTTATATCTATAGTCTCTATAGATAAAGCTTTCCTTTATCTATAGTCCTTTATCTGATTGTAGCTTTCCTTTATGTATAGTACTATAGTATCTATAGTGTAGTATAGAAGTAAGCTAATACTACTACTACGGCTCACTGTCACCCAGTCAATGCCAATTCATAGCAATCCTATCGGATGCCATGTAACTGCCCCTGTGGATTTTCAAGTGTTACTCTTTATAGGAATGAAGCAAGCAAAAGGGGTCTTAAATTAATATTGGGTGTGCTGACCACAGAGCATCTACTACAGTTATAAGATTTTGTTTCCTTCAGTGAACAAGATGCCATGATGTCACAGTCAAAGCGGATCCAAGTGATGGATCATCTAAGCCATGTTTCATCTAGGCTCTCTACTTTAAAATGCTGTCTGTTCTCAATTTCCCTCCCAGAACAACTCATGGGTAATAAAACAGTTTCATTAGTTAAGCTATAAGCAGAAAAAAGATTCACCCCGGATGACTGAAATACAGATGCTAATAAGAGAACTATTTATATAAGTAGGGGCAGATCTGTGGACGAGGGAGGTGCCCAGAAACAATGAAGATTAGGAAGTTGCAAACCTTAGAACTCTAGGACAAGGAAAGAAACAGTACAAGTCGAGGCCACTAAGAACTGGACCTAAGGAGGAGAGATTGTGTAGTGGGGACCACGGTTAAAAAAGGGAAGAAACATGATGTCAATTCTCAGTGCTTCTGAGGTAGTTAGTTTATTATGCCAACTGGGCCAATAAACACATGTGGGGTTAATTGAAGGGCAGAGGGATAAATGGCTCAGTGAGCCTTGTCTTTCTAGTTCTTCTGATGGTTGGAGCAGGGTGCAGCTGCCTTAGCCAGTTGCCTGCTTCAGCTGGCAAGGCTCACTTCCTGCAATGCATCCCCAAGGAGAAGTCACATGGACCTACCCTGATGCAGCTCTGAGTGCTGGAGCAGCCAGTGCTGAGATGCTTACACATTCACTGACTAGGCTTTCCTACTACAGTTGGCATCATAGTGTGTGTTTTGTGAGATGGAAGAGAATTTTGTGGATTGGTGTCAGATATATGGGTTAATGTTGGACTTGTGGGCGTGGGCAGCACTGGGTTGGGATGTTTTCTTGATTTGCACTTACCCTTTATATAAAACTCTCTCTTACACATATGAGTTTCTGTGGATTTGTTTCTCTAATGTACACAGATTAACACATCTTCCAACACTCGTGAGACCTCCTTCCAGTGACTCTCAAACACCAAACCCAATCACAAAGCCAGCTGGCAAGAAAGATTGAAAAGGACCTCACGGAGTTCAACTTTCTAAATTATGGACAGGACAAGGAAAACAATGGAGAATAGACTGAGGAAAGGGCCCAAGGAGCAGCACCTTTATAAGCCACAGAATTGTTGTAAGGATTCAGGAAGATAATGTGCATGAACATTCTTTAGAAACATTTGAAATGTTGTTTTTAAAGTTGGATAATATTTGCTTTATGGATATTTTCTCTTTGGGAGACAACTTTCTTTATTTTGTCTCTTACCAAGAAATGTCTTATTTTTCTAATTAGTTCATGGAGCATGAGAAACAGTTGGAAGGAGCTCAAAGACAGTAAATGAAAGAGCACGCCGAAATGTGGGGAGGCGGGAAGATAGTCAATGAGGTCGGGAACAGGGGCACTGTTTAAGGGAAAAGTTGTGAAATAAAAATCGTTGAGGCCAAATAGATAGAAGAGGAAGGGTTATGGAATTTAGCCACCCGTTAGAAACGATTGCATTAACTTCCCTCGATTCTCATTTTAAGGAAATAATGCTTTCCAGATTTAATGTAAATAATAAAGCAATGATGGAATCATAATGGAAAATAATTTAATCAATTCATCACCTTACACTCTTCCTCTATTTTCACCGAATACACACATTTATTAATTGTGAAAAAATTATATTTAAAGCTAATAGCAATTCTTCATGAATTATAAGAAAGGAAATTCCAGCTCCCTAAGGTTGGTAGAAAATAAAAGCATTACCAACTGAAAAAAGGAAATGAGTTACAAGTAATATCTTCCTAAAGCTACAAATTTTTAGAGCAAAATTTGCCATAGAAGAAAGAAAAAAAATGTTAAGTGATGTCAGAAATCATCGTTGATTGGAGTTCTGGCATAAAGAAACTTGATTTCCATGACAGTTTTTCAGAGTTGCATCCTTTTGCTGGAGGCGAGAAAAAAAAAAAAGGAAGTTAAAGTTTTAAACATGTGTGGAAGAAAAAAAACCTAAAATCCAACATGTGTGTTCATACTTTGGTCATATTTCACTGGGGGATATTTCACTGGAGTTGGACATTTTAGACCAAAAATCGTAGAGGAAGGAGACACTGCAGCATGTTTCGAATGGTTTCTCTTGGCAGTGGGGTCTGAAACTGAAATTGTCTCCTGTGTTGTTGTGGTACTTCTAGGAGAAATGAAAGAGTGAAACTAAGCTTTAAAAATCCTCTCCAAATCTGCCTTTTCAAACGGTTCCTGCGGAAGGATGAGAGAACACAGGGCATTGTCATGGTCGTCCTTTGCTCTACACAAGAGCACATAAATCTCGGCAGATAATAACCAGAAACACAGCAAGTGATTTAATGATGTCTAGAAGGCACAAACTGGGTATTAGCTGCCTCACTAAACTTCAATACAACCAGGTATATTTACTAAGCAAGAGTGAGTTAGACCCA